AATTATTTACATAAAGAAGAACAAATACTTTTTTAGGGTAAATGGAAATATTTTAGTTTTGTTTGTTTGTTTTTGAGACAGAGTTTCACTCTTGTCACCCAGACTGGAGTGCAATGGCACGTTCTTAGCTCGCCGCAACCTCCGTCTCTTGGGTTCAAGCGATTCTCCTGCCTCAGCCTCCCTAGCAGCTGGGATCACAGGCACCTGCCATCACGCCTGGCTAATTTTTTTGTATTTTTAGTAGAGATGGGGTTTCACCATGTTGGCCAGGCTGGTCTCGAACTCCTGACAGGTTATCTGCTCGCCTCAGCCTCCCAAAGTGCTGGGATTATAGGTGTGAGCCTCCACAACCAGCCAACTATTTTGTATTTTATTTGTGGAGGAAGGTTCACAGATATTTGTATATCTATCAAAATTTATCATGTATAATGAATAGATATTCATTGTAAATAACATAATCTCATAAAGTTAATTAACATTTTTCTACAGAAAATTATACATAGTATTTTTTGTGATTAAAAAATTATTTTCTGTATTCTTGGGTAGGTTCTTTTTTTGTTCTTAATACTGTTTATTTGGACAATCTTTTTTTAAATGAATTTTGTTTAAAACTTTGTCCATTTCATTGTCTTTTAAATAACTAGCTTTCTGAGAAGAACCCTTAGCATCTTTCTTTTCTTTCTCTTTCTGCCATAAGTACCTTGCAATATCCCTGCCACAACTACCACCACCGCCATTTTGGTGGGGCAAGTGGGAACAGGCGAGAAGATAGGTGACTAAAGGATATTACAATATTTGGGGCAGAGGCCAGAAATAAAGGGATGATTTTTTTCTTATTTCAAAGTGCCTACTGTAGCCAGCCGGTCAAGCCTTGTAGCTATTGGAGACCATTTCCTATGTGCAAATTGATGTAGTTGGAATATTATGTTGTGTCTTTGAGGAGAACCCCTTTTACAATTCTTCAGAAGGGCTTAGCTGACAATGTGGAAACTCATTACCCTGTAGGAACTGGGTTCTAGCACCTTTGTATTCAAGGTCATAATATTGGCTCTTGTTGCTTAACTCACAGACCGATGAAAATGGGCCACAGAACCTGAAAATAATACAGCATCAAATAACTGCTAAATAGTTAATATGTTTTACTGTCTTAAAATTTATTTTTTAAATGTTTTCTTTTTTATTATTACTATTTTAAAATTTAAATTAATATTATCTTATTTTACATAGAAATGAAGTCTCACTATATAGTCTAAGCTGGTCTTAAGCTCCTGGGCTCAAGTGATCCTCCTGCCTCAGCCTCCCAAAGTGCTAGGATTACAGGCATGAGCCACTGTGCCCAGCTACTGTCTTGAAATTTATGTGTTTATTTTACCAGTATATATTTAGTTACTTAACACAACTTAAATTTTTCTTAAAAAAACACTACTCTTTTGGATTTGAGGGCGCTAATTATACTTTATTACTAAATGTGAAAACTTGATTGCTTTTTAATTTTTCTTCTAGTCAACAAATACATTCTAGAATAAAACATCATAACATGTGAAATGGACTATTTAATAATGTAGTGCTTATATGTTAGTACCAAATAAGATCTGAGGAAGTAATATTCCCATTAAAAGTATATTCAGAGATGCCATTGTTAGCTGTCTTGGGGCTTATTCAAAGTAATCAGGTCCTCTGTAACAGATGTACCAAAAATATTGAACATCATTCCCTATACGTATTAAATAATTTTGTGCTTTTGAAAACTTGAAGGTAAATGTATTTTGTGGGTAGGACTTGATACTTACAAAGTCTAACTAAGCAACCTAATGGGAAATCAATAGTGCTTTTGATGGTGCTGGACATCAGCAACAAAGTTATTTATCTGAAATTTGAATTAGATCTCCTGGAATTGAAAGGGGGGTCATAAATTTGAGTAATTCTTTTTCTTACTTTCTTGTGCTCTTTCAAAAAATGCATTTGAGGCATCTTTTGTTTGTTTTGTTTCATTCTTAGGGAAAAGTTGAAAACCCAAGATTGGAAGACATTTTATGGTTTGCTAGGGCTGCTGTAAGTAACATAGACTGAGTGGCTTAAAAAAAACAGAAATTTATTTTCTCACAGCTCTAGAGGCTGTAAGTCTGAAATAAAAGTGTCAGCGAGTTGGTTTCTTCTGAGGCCTCCCTTCTTGGTGTGTAGATGGCCGTCTGTCCCCTCTATCTGCACGTGGTATATTAGTCATATTTACGTGATGGCAGCAGTAGCCTGTCTGGAGTGGCCGCTGCCATGACCTCGGCTGCAACAAGGGATGGAGGAGCAGCCAGGACTTCATGCTCCACTGAGCCAGTAGGATCTGGGAACAGGCAGAAGCCCGCCCCCTTCTGAGTTGGAGAGGTGGGAGCCCCGTTGACCGGGCACAGCCGCTGTGGACCTGGGCATCTCTGCACTCTCCAGGCCCAGGAAGCCCCCTTCTACTGCCGGCTCAGAAGTGCCTGCTCCTACTGCCTGGCCTCTCCCTGATCCCAGAGACCACTCTGATTTCAGAGCAAAGTTGTGGCCGAGCCCAGATGCTGTCATGAGCTGGCCGGGTGTGCACATGCCCGGGGCAGTGCTGACACATCAACCCCCTGCCAACTCAGCCCCTTCCAGACTTTGGGCACTGATGAGCAGGGAGGCCAAGAGGGGGTTAAAGGCAGCTCAGTACAGGCCTGCAGGCACCCCTCAGCACAGACAGCCTGGATGCCATGGGTACTGTGGAGGGCATGCCAATGGTAGCAGGAGGCAGACAGGCTCCTGGGTGGAAAGGGAGGGTCCCCATTGAAACCCCACCTTTAGGCCAGGGATGACCTGAGGCCTGGGGTCCAGGCTGCCAGTTCTGTGGACCAGAGTGAGAACTTACGGTGCTTTTTCTGGGCCACCCGTGGCCACCCATGTACCAATCAGCACATACTTCCTCCCCTCTGAAGCCCATAAAAACCCCCAAACTCAGTCAGACTCAAGCAGATGACAGGATGACCTGCCTGCAGAGAGGAGGTTCCTACTGTGGGACTCCTCTCTGCTAAGAGTTGGACACTTGTTGGGACAACCTGCCTGCAGAGAGGAGCTACCCACTGCAGTTCTCCTGTGAGCTGTTCTGTCCCTCAGTAAAGCACCTCTTTGCCATGCTCACCCTCCACTTGTCTGCATACCTCATTCTTCCTGGACATGGGACAAGAAATCGGGACCCACCAAATGTCAGGAGTGAAACAGCTGTAACACAAATAGGACTGAAACATGCCCCTTGCTCGCCATGTTGTAGGCAACAAGAAGGAGAGAAGAAAGGAGAGAAGTGCCGTGGCTCTTCAGGAAGCCCAGACCTAGTAGCTCCCAAGCCAGGGCTGTAACACCCTCTTTGAAGCTCTGCGGTTCCTGGTGTCTCCAAGCTTCCAAATGGCACCACATTTCCTGGTGCCAGCAGTGGAAGCTGTTTGTGGTACTTCTGGTCCAGTTGCAGCCTAGCAGTGAGCCAGCACCCATGCCAGTGCCTGGAGCTGCCTTCTCTGCTGTAACCAGAGTGCCTGACTGTGTGCAGCAGATGGACCCCATGCTCACTCACTCACATGCCTCTCACCACTCCACACCTGGCTTGCCCTTGGCAGGTGTGGGGTCCGGGCTGGTAGCACAAGCCAAGTGCAGCCTGCCAGGCCGAGTGGGCACAATGAACCCAGCAGGCCTAAGCAAAACTCAGGCAAAGGCACCACTGGCAGCAGAGGTTTCTGGCTGGTGAAGCGACACCCCAAGGATCCTGTAACATATGTATGTGTATATATACAAACATATATATAATTATCATTATATACATATTTATGAAGAGAGAAAAATTTTAAGGAATTGGCTCATGATTATGGAGGCTTTAGAAGCTCAAAATCTTCAGGTGGAGACCTGGAAAAAAATTGCAGCCCAAAGGCAGCCTGCTAGCAGAATTCCTCCTTGCTTGGGAAGGGCCAATCTTTGTTTTATTAAAGCCTTCAGCTGCTTGGATGAGGGCTACCTACATTGTGAGGGTACTCAGCTTTACTCAAAGTCTACCAATGTCAATCTCATCTAAAAACACTGTCATAGAAACATCCAGACAATGTTTGACTAAATATCTGAGCACCATGGCTCAGCCATGCTGACATATGCAGTTAATTAACCATTACACAGGGCCTTCCCTCTGTACCTGTCTGTGTCCATATTTCCTCTCCTTATAAGGACACTAGTCATACTGGATTAGGACCCACCCTAATGACCTCATTTAAATTTAAAATTCTGTCTCCAAATATAGTCACTCTCTGAAGTACTGGGGATTATTACTTCAACATATAAATTTGTGTAGAACATAATATAGCCTATAACAGCCTTTACCTTAAAACAGGCATAAATAGGAAGGGAAAAATAGTCTTCCTAATGCTAAAAATGTGTTATTTCCTGTTACCTTAGGATAAAGCATGTTTGTGAATCCTCAGATAAACCAATTAATTGTAATAATGGAAAGTAACTTTTTCATAAATTTACATTATGAATCTAGAAGTCAGCTTCATTTTTCTTTGCCAAGGATATTTACATTATCATAGTAATTAAATATTAGGTTAAAAAAACTTTTTTATTCTGGCTATATCTGAATTTTTACCTGTTTTCATTTCATGCTTTTATATTTAAAATTAAAGAGCAATGTGTGAGATATTTTAATCTTGACTTATGAAATAATTTGAAGTCACTATTTTAAAAAGTTTCCACTTTTTCTGAAAATATAAGACATACAAATGGGAAAACTACCAATAAAAATGGAAAAGAATTAGCAAGAGAATATAAAATGAGGACAAATTAAAAACCACATCTTCAATGGTTATCTCATAAATGAAATCTTGTAACATTATCTCCTAGGTTTTCTTCAGTATCCCAGTCTCTTCTATCTCTAAAATCCATTTAACAAAAGGGCAAAATATTTTCCTATCTCTGAATGAAAAAAAACAATGTTTCTGATTCTCTTTTTGCAGATAACAAGGAGATTTTTCTTTCCAAAGCAATTCACAAGTCCTTCTTAGAGGTTAATGAAGAAGGCTCAGAAGCTGCTGCTGTCTCAGGTACTGTTTGCTAAAATCTTCTCCCCTCTTCTAAAAGATTTGTATTTTTAGAGCAATCTTGGGTGGGGAGTGGGGTCTTTTTCAAAATGAAGCCAAAAAGTCACTCTGCTTTAACTTAGAAGTCAACCAAATGCTGAACCAGCTGGAATTTTCTAAATAGAATGTGAAATGTGAACTCACTCCAGTGCCCCTTTACAGATAACTCTCATCTTCATTTTCTCTCTAATGAGAGACAGGAGGACATTGGCATTTCTGTGAAAATAGATTTTTCTGCTCTGCTGCCGGTTTAAATATTTTAAATATTTTCCTGCTACCCATTTAAACATTTTTCTTCTTACCAAATTACTTGCTGAAGTTGATTCTTAATTTTGTCAGCAAAAAGTTCTTATTTTTTATTTTCGTGGCTACATAGCAAGTGTATATATTTATGGAGAATATGGGATATTTTTAATATAGGCATACAATGCATAATAATCACATCAAGATAAATGGGGTATTCATCACCTCAAGCATTTATCATTTCTTTTTATTACAAACATTTCGATTATACTTGTCTAGTTATTTTTAAATGTACAACAAATTATTGTTGACTTATAATCACTTCGATGTGCTATTAAATACTAGATCTTCATTCTATTTAACTGTATTTTCGTACCCACTAACTATCCCGACATACCCCCCCCATCACTGCCACTGTTAGGATAGTGTTTTCAGAAGGAAATAAGAGCACAGTAGCCTCAGGCATCAAGACAGCTTGAAACCTTACATGTAATCTGGACTTTCTTTTGACAATTAACTATACTGCAGCAAGTATATAACAATCTTACAGTGAGGATCTCAGGGGAATTTAGTAGCCCGGTCATAGGATACCTCGTTGCATCTCTCACTGTTATATTTCCCCTTTAATCACCACCATCCTGACCACTTACTAGAAACCTGGTGACTTGCTGTGTAAAAATACCCACTTCAGACAAAAGAAATAATGATTTGAAAATACAGAGAAACTCTCTTCAGTTTTTGTTTGGGGATTTTTTTCTTTATTCTTCCTCTTCCTTTTACTCAAAAGTTATTTTAGTAAGGACACACATATTATGTGAGACTGAGAATAAACATTTCGTAACAAGCAGAATAAATTGTCCTATTATTTTTAGTGGAGTAGAGGGAAGAAATTGTTTGGTTGGTTGGTTTGTAGTATGTATTTGTTTTGTTTCATTTTGTTTTTTAAAAAGATCAAGTAGAAATTTTAACACCTTTATAATTTTTCTCCAGTTAAGTCTTTAAAATCTTGTTTCCTGTAAATTGTTGTCTTTGCATTAGGTGGATAGGCCTAGATGGTTTTGAGGAATTACTCATTAGTCCCTGCACATCCACAGATATATAATTACTTTTTCTCTGCACTGTAGGAATGATTGCAATTAGTAGGATGGCTGTGCTGTATCCTCAAGTTATTGTTGACCATCCGTTTTTCTTTCTTATCAGAAACAGGAGAACTGGTAAGTTTATTATGAAAACAAAATTTTGTTTAATAGGCCATAAAGAGCCTCTTTTTTAAATGGAGATTTTTTTCTCAATACTCATCATACAATTTATTTTCACAATTTCATTTATTCTTTTTCCAGAGATTGACCAACTGAATTATGAGATAATTTATAATGTTGAAGTGAATTTTTTTAAATGAAAATAATAAGGCTGGTGAGGTGGCTCAGACTCTAATCTCAGCACTTTGGGAGTTCCAGGCAGGGAGGATCACTTGAGGCCAGGAATTCGAGCCTAGCCTGGGTAACATAGTGAGACTCCATTTCTACATAAATAAAAATTTAAAAAAATTAGCCAGGCATGTTGTCACATATCTGTTATCCTAGCTACTAGAGGTGTTGGGGGTGGGAGGAATGCTTGAGCTCAGGAGTTCAGGGTTACAGTAAGCTCAGATAGAGCCACTGCTCTCCAGCCTGGGCATCAGAGCAAGAGTCTTTCTCTAGAAGGAAAGAGGGAAGGGAAGGGAAGGAAAGGGAAAAGGGAGAAGGGAGAAGGGAGAAGGGAGGAAGGGAGGAAGGAAGGGAGGGAATGAGGAAGGAAGGGAGGGAGGGAGGAAGGGAGGGAGGGAGGGAGGAAGGAAGGGAGGGAGGGAGGGAGGAAGGAAGGAAAAAGAAAATAACATATTTTCATTAATTGTAAGCAAGAAGGAAGGTAAATATTTTATTATTTTGTTCACCCCCTCTTTTGTTTACTTCCAAACCAATACAGGTACAATTCTATTCATGGGACGAGTCATGCATCCTGAAACAATGAACACAAGTGGACATGATTTTGAAGAACTTTAAGCTACTTTATTTGAATAACAAGGAAAACAGTAACTAAGCACATTATGTTTGCAACTAGTATATATTTAGGATTTGTGTTTTACAGTATATATTAAGATAATATTTAAAATAGCTCCAGATGAAAACAATATATGTAAATTATAAGTAACTCGTCAAGGAATGTTATCAGTATTAAGGTGATGGTCCTTTTGTGTCATTGTGTTTGTGTGCTGTTGTTTAAAATAAAAGTACCTATTGAACATGTGACTAGATCTATTTTTTTTATTTTGGAAGTTGTAGTATAAAGATATCTCTAGGTGAACTTTGGAAACAATGTTTCTGTACATCTTAAATCTCTTATAATTATGCAGGATCAAAACAGTAAAGTAAAATAGCATTACATACTTATGCATAACAAGCAATAACAAGTGAGTTGAAGACAGGTACTCCACAAAAATTCTCACGGTCATCTCTTGGAAATAAGTGTATAATGTAGGCAAAAGAATGCAAACTGGACATCGTCCATATTGCTTCATGACAAGACCTGTTAGAAAAAAATAAAAGAGCTATGCAAATCTCAGATACCTATAGCTTATTTTCCCAAATCATTGAAAATTCATTTGGCTTCACATGCCTAAAGGAGTTTACAAGTCTGGTATATCACTATGTTTTGTTGCTGTAAGTAAAATTCAAACTACAATTTCCCAAAAGCCCCAAAATAAACCACATGAGCAAACTAACAATAAAAATACGCACTTTGGCTCACAGGAGAGTTAATTAGAAAAACCGTGCTAGCACGTATACTGGAAAATGGCAACTCACAGGACTGAACGCTGCCCACATAAGTGTTCTTGTTTGCTCTGCATGGGGCTTTTACATTCTGAATGTCTGTAACTGGGGTAGCATGTTCCTTGTTTCTCCCGTTAATTACCTGAGTGGCTACTGGGCGCATTTGTGTTTGAGATCTGGAGAGAGTTGTAAGTAGCTCTCTGCAGAATGCATTGGTCTTTATTTTCTAATATAATAAATACTTGATTCCAAAGGGGACAGTGTCAACTTCAAGGTCTCCAGTAAATTACTTTATCTTTTAATATTTCTTGGAAAAAAATATTTCATAAGATCTCATGAATGGAACTATTTCTGTTTAATGCCAAATTTTTAATTCTATGATGAACAGTTTCAGAAAAAGTTTGACACATTTCAGAATAACAGAAACAGTTGGCGTGTTACTTTCTTGTGTATTAGGTATTGTGCTGATATGGAGCTGTTTACAAGAATTCTTATTATCTTATCATTAACTTTAATTCAATACATGGGAGTTTGGGAAAACTAGGCCTGATCTTAGACCTACTAAATTCAAAAACTTGAAAATCCACTTTCTTCCCCAAGCTTTCTCGGTGATTCTATTACATGCTAAATCTTGAATGCTGCTAAAGTAAAGGGTACATATGGAATACTCACTTATAACCAGTTTTTTAGATATGGTTAATTTATAGAAACTTACATCAATCGATGAGTATATTAAATCAATGCTTCTCAAACTTTATTGTGTAATGGAACCACCTGGGGATCTTATGAAAAATTCAGTTTATCATTCAGTAGGTTTAGGGTGTGGTCTGAATAGCCTGGAGTGTGTTTCTAACAAACTTCCAAGTAAAGCCTTTCATGTTTGTCAATAGATTTTGCTGTTTCTTACTTTGTTAGAAAAACTCTACTTAATATTTGCATGTTTGATATTTTTATAAATGGAATAGAATGTCTGTATAATTTTTACAGAGTTTGGAGGGATTTGAGGGAGTAGGGTGACAGTATGCATGAAAAAATGCAATATACTTGTCCAAAATGGGGAAAAATAGTTTTACTCTAAAGTTTTTTTTTCTATTACATGCTATGGACAAATGAAAAATTCTTCTGCCTATTAGAACACTTGAAATGTATTCTTTAAAAATATGAAGACATTTATAGGCATTATTCATAAAAGAATTTATGGATGCCAAAGAACATAGTACCTAGCACAATCTTTTACAGCTTATATTTTCAGAAGACTTACAGTTTATTCATAGGTTATTATAGAAAAGTGCTCTTGTTTTCATGTATAATGTATACAGGTTGGATTAACTGATGTTGTTTCAGTATTGGTATTATGAGTTTGTGATATTCTTCATTACCATATCTCTACTTGTTAAACATTATTTCTATATTTATATGGTCATCGGTCAATGAAATGATTTACCTATAAAGAAGAGTAAATGTCATTAGGCAATCACGTGGATTTTTTTTTTTTGGAGACGGAGTTTCACTCTTGTCACCCAGGCTGGAGTGCAATGGCGCGATATTGGCTCACTGCAACCACCGACTCCTGAGTTCAAGCGATTCTCCTGCCTCAGCCTCCTGAGTGGCTGGAATTACAGGCGCCTGCCACCATGCCCAGCTGATTTTTGTATTGAGACAGCATTTCACTATGTTGGCCAGGCTGGTCTCAAACCCCTGACCTCAAGCGATCCACCTGCCTCAGCCTCCCAAAGTGCTGGGATTACAGGCGTGACCACTGCACCCAGTCAATCATGTGGATTTTATAAAGCCTAAAATGCAACTTTTATTAGCTGATATAAGATTGAATTCTACTATTCAGAAGGTTTACCTTAAAATATTTCAATACCATTGAGATATCCTTTAAATAAGAAAAGATTCTCCTGTGTTGTTAGTATGCTTGTGGAATGCTTAGGAATAGAGTACTTGATAAACCAAGTTTTTCATTTTGTTTGACTTGGTTTATAATATCTTCAGTATTTTTGTTTGTTTTGAAAAAGTAGCATAGTCAAGTTCGATTTCCTTTAAACGAATAAAGTAATACACACACAGTATACAGTTTGCCAAAACTTTTTGCTTTTGAACCTTTTTCTTAGAGAAAATCAACATAATTATGTAGATTTTGCTTTTATTTTAAATCTTGATTTTACTTTGTGTGTATTCAATAGGCTAGACTGAATAGTTATAGACAATATAATCCTATAAATTTTGACATCATCATAGTAACCAAATAATTGTTAAAATCAGTCTTAAATAGAAATGTTTATTTGAACACCAGAAAAAGTTGGGGTTTTATAAAAGTAATTAGAATAAAGAAAATATGGTGAAAACATATTTTATTCTTATTAAGTGTGTGTATATTATACCTAGTATAATATACTATGTATATTATACCTTTGGTATATTATCAGCTTCTTGATTTATAATGATGAACATTTTTCTTATCTAAAAAAAAATCCTTTTTTTGTTAACCAAAATGGCTTGGGGCATTTTAGTTATTGGCCAAAGGTAACTTGAAATGCATCTTTGTTAGGTATAGGTCTTTGTTGCAATGTTGAGAAGATAAGATGAATATTTGTAATACAAAAAAAATGGCTGCTAAAAAAGCAATAACCTTGCCATATTCTCAGAGGCTCACTACAACACTATCTGTTACAGAGAGGATTCATTTAGAGAAGCATGCCTTAGACAGAGGACAAGTTTCTTTAGTTAAACAGCTTCATTATAAGACTACCCCAAGGTATAGGCTCAATAAAAAATACTCTAACACGGCTTGCATGTAGCTGTTTCCTTTCAGGAAAGCTAGACTGCCTGTTAATATTTTAACACAGTTTAAAATATATATATTGGACTAAACTAAAAACAAATCTCCAGCTTGACTAAAGTGCATCATTAAAAAGAAATCCCAGACCCATATGAGCAGGGACCCAAAATACATTGTTTTAATTCAGTTATTGTTCTCCAAAAAAATGCTGGAATCATTAGGGATGATGTATGGGGACAGGGAAAAGGAATGTATAAAGGAGTGCAGTCATGTGGGTAAATCTAAAACCAACATCCCACAAGTTTTCACCATTATCAAATGGTGGAACACACATACCAGCAACTTCTGGCCCACTTCCAGATCATATATTATTTAGAAAAACTTAGTTTGTATATTTTTCTGCCTGAAAACTGAATCAGAAAACCACACTGTTCCATTCCATTTTAGGTTCTCTCTCTCTCACACACACTCTCTGTGTGCGTGTGTGTGTGTGCATGGACACGCTTGTGTCTGCATTTTTTCTTTTTCTTTTTTTTTTAATGTTTATTTGGATGGCTTACTCTCTGCACTGAAGATTTTTATCCTCAGCCTGACAATAGATGAGAGAAGTCCTTCCACATCCATCATTATTTACTGGGAAGCATCTACCCTCCCCAAAGGATGCTTGAGGTCATACCCCACGCCCCCTCCAAAACTTGAGGAAGCCCCTTTAGAGAAAAAGAAGAAGAAATTTGATTACAACATGAAACTCATTCACATAGAGACTCTCTGCTCTGTAAAGTGCTTTCCTGTTGAATTTTCCATTCAAATTCCACAATCTTTAAGATAGAGCAAAAAATATTATTGCCATTTTAAAAATGTGTAAACTGAGGTCTAGATAAATTAAATGACTAGCCAAAAATGATATGCAATTAGATAACTGAAAAGAGACTAATAGTTTATTAAATTATATTACTCTATTTGACACACATATTGTATTTATCAACCTTTTACCTACCAAATGTCCAGTTTATATGTGAGTGAATGAATGCAATGATTCCTTTGCCAGTAAAAATGTATTTTTTAAATGGCTTTTCCATTAAGCCAGACTTGCTAACAAGATTCCTACCAGGCTGGCTGGGTAGCTCATGCCTGATATCCCAACACTTTGGGAGGCCAACACGGGTGGACTCCTTGAGCTCAGGAGTTTGAGACTTGCCTGGGGAACGTGATGAAACCCTGTCTCTACAAAAAATACCATGCTGGGTGTGGTGGCGAATACCTGTAGTCCCAGCTACTTGAGGGGCTAAGCTGAGAGGATCACTTGAGCCTGGGAGGTTGAGGCTACAGTGAGCTGTGATCATGCTGCAGCACCCCGGTCTGGGAGACAGAGCATGACCCTGTCTCAGCAACAACCACAAAAAAAAAAAAAAACATACCAGGTGCTTCTATCTGTATTAAGACCATAAAAGGAAATAACCTTCAAAAGAAGTCCCAGTAGACCCTAAGCCAATTAAAGTATCTAAAATGTTCATTTTTCCCAGCTCAGTACTATTTAACAAAGATTACATTTTGTATTATGTGTACATAATATGACCCAGGAAAGAAACTCTGAAACAGGCAAACTTGTAAACTTGTACTTTAAGGAAAATGATTAGACTCTTGCACCAGCCTTTGTAACATTGGGAGTTCTTTCATATTGGTAGTTCTGCAG